ATATTCAGTGGTTTATATTAGATAGTAACCCGAAAAACACTAAAACGTCTTGTGTTATTTTTAGTTGTCAAAAATTGTATCCTATTCAATTTTGTAATTTATTCACTTTGTCTGAAAATTATGATGAATGAATAATGTTGAAAGAAATTAGTACAATACAGATTTTCTATAATTCGTTTGTTTCGTATTGATCCTTTTTCAACTGATAACTAATAAGTGAACTATAAATGAATTTCCTATGAGTTTTATATTACATCAATAAATGACTGTGTAAATGCACTTGATTAGTCGAGAAATAGTGGTCAAAGACAGTTAGACCGGAACAAATATGAGAGATCTGCTTTACTTCCTATGACGATAAAATCATAAAGAATAAATGCTTCTAATAAAAGCACATTTTCTTGAACTGACCAATTATTTCTTCTTTAATGTACATGAAAAGTATTATTATCGACAAATTGTATTAACACTGATTCGATAATAGGAAATCGTGTTATCAATTTTTTTTGCTTAGATTATCACGTTTGAAAATTTTGTGATCATAGATAGCTCTTTTTAATCACTACCTGCAAATACATAGTTAACGCAATTAATCTGCACCTGACGATATAGGATATGAAAACCATAATTTGTTGGTATGTACTTGGATATTGACTTTTCAGGAACTGAAAATTCTTTGTACAAAACCTATCACTATCTTTTAGCCAGCATCAGTATGTCAGAACTCATTTCACTACCTGAATGAAAAGAATCATTACTTTTTGAATATTAGGATTTCTTCGGGTTTCTTCAAATTTGCAATTCGATTCACCAAAAACACATGAGTTCTCAACTTCCACCGCCTTTGATGCCTGAAAGCGTGGCTGGTAGATGATATCTTCAGTATGCAAACTTCGTTCACATACATGGTCTCTCCTTACTCGTTTGAGAATGCAGTTCGGCAAAATTGTCAACCCAATAAAATCTCCTACATACCTATCGATTTCCTTTTCCGACACGAAGATCAACTACGATATGACTCCAAAACAATCACAAATTCTCAAAGAATTACGAAATAAATAACAAACTTGTTGTGAGGCAAAAAAGAACCACATATTGATAGCACACTTAAAGTATCCATGGTTTAACGGAACAAACTGGTTCAAAAAGATGATGAGGAACTGTCACCAAAAAGAGATGCAGGTTCGAAGTGGTCCAAACCCGCTCGGACCCGAGTTCGTAGAGAAAATCTCGATATTTCATCAGTTTTTCTTCCTTCCTTCTTATGGCAGAACCTGGTGTTAAGAATCTCTACACCCATTACGCGTCTACGGTAGACGCGTAATGGGTGTAGAGACATCATCCGAGGAAAGCGGAAGTGTAGTACTTTTATGAGCAGATGTGAGCCAAATTTGTTGAAGAAGACCCCATCGTAGAAATAAAGTGATCTCTGTGGGACATCTACTGAACGGGTTCCAATTTGGTAATGACGTTTTTCATTTCGTCCAGTATAGAAAACTCAACCAAGTTCATTGGCAGTTCGTGCAGCTGCTTCAAGAAGAAATGCAGAGGTTACGAAATTCTGATGACACTACTTCAAAGGAGTAGAATGAGATCGAAACGGCAAACATATTTATAGTAGCAACTTTGTTTTTGCGTGCTGATACTTGCACTCGCAGACACTTACGGTGGTCATATCTCAAAAGTGATGCTATATGTTCCTGAGGTGAGTCTACGTCTCTCCTGCATCTAGATTGTGCAGGATATTTCTATCTAAAACCTATACATCATCTCCGTAAAACACGCAACGTCCTCTTCTGAGATATACCGTTGTACCGATAAAATGCGTGTACCCTTCAGGACTATAGGAGATCATACTCTTCTGCAACAAAATAGGCTCTAGGGGGTTCACGGGGGAAGCAAATAGTTCAGGCTGGAATGTAGTCAGCAACCAAAACTACCGTTGGAAGCGTTATCACAATTTATTCTAGAGTGTACCCAGCCAAACAAGCCAAAACTAATAGTAACTGTCTATTACATACCTGCAGGTAACGAGTAGCTAATATCTACGTTCGTTATCACCAGAAAGCCCGACAACTCTCAATGCGAGAAATGTCTCCAAATACCCATACGCAGCTGCGCCATGCACGACTTCTTCGATAAAGCCAACGATGCTGTGCCTCAACCAAAGGTACCGGTACCCAAGGCATATTGTCACACCTCAGAGACATCGGTCGGTAGCCAGGCGGTTCGACGTGGGTGCTTCGTTCACTCACTCGAATTGACTGCCGTGTTGGTCGGTGGTTCAAGCCCTAGTCTGAACGATCGATTTTCACTTGCTATCGTCCAACCCGTGTTATGAATCACACGTTGAAAAGCAAGACCTCGTTAATCCTTAGCTCGCACAAGTTTCCACTTCTGAGGGTTTGCGTTCGTAGGGATGCGACAGCTGGCTAACGGAAAAACAGATTTTAAACAGAACAGCTACAATTCGAAGTCATTAATTTAAAGTAAATGAAATGCCTTTTGCCTTCGGTTTCCGGAGATGCCACAGTTGTACTCCAATTATTTTCGAGTAGAATGAATAATGGCAATGATGAGATGCAGAAAAAGGGGATTGGGGGATTGGCCCTGAAATACAGCCTCTTTCGGAGTGACCCACTCTGTATGGACTCTACCTTGTTAGGTATAAAATATCATTATCTAAAAGGTGTTAAGAGTCAGACACTGTATCTGAAGCTCCGACACATTCAGAAAGCGTGGCAGCATAGTAAACCAAGACTCACTTTCCATAAACGTAAAGAAATGGAATGGAATGGATGGATGGAAAAATTGGGTTCCCTGGGTATATATGGCGAACCAAGAATAACATCTTTCTGCATTTGTCTGTCTAAAATTTTCACCGTTTTGAAGCAATCCGGTTCTTAAGATGAAAGAATAGTGTAGGCAACATTCCACATAGGACTCCTATAATCAGAACAATCATTTCTCAGTAATCAGTAATCTACTCAGTAATCTGAGTAGAGTCTGCGAAGTTTGAAAAATAATCTCGATACTTCTTTTCTTGGACGATATTTGCTTCATTCGAAGAGGAAAACTCCATGACGGATATCATTTCACTCTGATGAACAAGGAGCACTACATCAAGCTCGTTAGCTTTTATATCCCTGAAGAAGAGGAATGAGTAATTCCAATGAATTCAGCACCTCTCATTCTCCACAACGGATTCAATATCTCCTTGGCATTAGTCAACAACGGTGTGTCGTCAATACCGTAGGAGTGCCGCAAGTTGTAGTAAAGCAGTCTAAGGGCCTTATTATGTCGGTATATATAGGCTATCACCACATATTCTGGGTATTTCGCGGTGACACTTTTCTGGGGTACCTCCCTCTTGGGAGTGGCGTTGTTCCACCCCAAGATTAGTTTACGACTCTTCGGCATCCAAATGATGTAGTATGCTTCCTTTTACGAGCAGCACATCCTCTCCATAATCCCTGTATCATTCTCTTTCGAGATGGGCCATTGCAAATTTGTCTATTCTAAATTTTTAATTGATAGCATACGTGAACTCTTCTACAACATTTGGAAACTGATGAAGATTTCCTTCTACAGATAGATAGATCATCTATATAAAATAAATAAGTTATACTTATACCTTCTATTCCCGGAGATTCCGTAGTTGTACACAAGAGTATTCCTGGGAACAAGCAATAATGACAATAAAGAGATGGAGAAGAGATGGGAGTTGATGGAATCTCCATGAAATACACCTCCTCTGGAAGTGACCCCTTTATATTTCGACTCAAATGCGTGTTCACCGTGTTCACTACACTCATAACAATGCAACAGGCTATCTCTCAGTTCACTTGTCCATTCAAAGTGTCCTTTGTTATTGTTGTGGTCATTAATAGAAAAAACATCGGGTTGGGCCCCACCACCTTGATTCTGACCTGAGTCGGTTGTGAGAGTCTTCATCTCGTGGTCGTTATTATATAGTAGAACACAAACCTCACACACAAATCAATAAAAATTTTCTCGGAGAGTCAAGCGGAGTTGGAAGCTCTTGACTTCTACCAAAGCAACGCCTAAGTTGGCCACATTGGCCTGGAAGGCAATGAGGCTGCTGACTCCCTTGCAAAGGAGGGAGCTGCAAGTAGTTTCATCGGATCAGAACCTGTCATTGGCACTGCTCTAGGTTTGCCAAACATACATTGAACACCTGGATGGCAAGAAGCTTCAAAGACTTCTGGCAAAATCTTCCAGGATTGGTTCACTCACAGACGTTCATTCACCCTTCGAAGTTTGGAACCAAATAGTTGTTGGACTTCAGTAGGGATGAACTACGATGTCTACAGGCCTTCTCACAGGTCACTGTCGTCTGAATCATCATATACAGAGACTCGGACTGTCGAAAGACAGTCCACACTTTTACCACCTGACCTGAAAGATCACTCACCATATAAACTAATCGGCTTCGTCAAGAAGCTGGGTTCATTTGGTTGAGTTTGAATAGGTGTGAGTCACAATAAACCCTTGCAGGTTGCAGTGGTGGGTCGAATAGGCCTAACCTAATCTATTATATACCGAAGATGTATATAATAACGAAAGGTGCACCGGCATTACTAATGACTACTCCACACACATAGATATGCGATGATTGGGTCAAGAACTATATGCCACCAGTTCTGTAGAAATACAAATCCACAAATTGTTTATGAAGAAAGTTTGGCTTCTTCCAACTCCAAAAGTGAAAATTCACAAATTGACCTGCACTATAAGAGCAGGTCTTGCAATCCAGAGATCAAAAGATGCCAAGAGATATTTCAAATAAAGTATCTTTCAACCCCCTTTGCTATCGAAAAAAAATTGGAAGTAGCTGATGAACGTAAGAATTTATTATCAAAATTAAATCCATTCGAAGTAAAATATACGAGATGGTCGTATTCCCCATTGAAACACTTCACATGTGCATAGTTTCAATACCTTTGAAATTTATACGTTTTCAAATGATTGACTTTCAGGATGTCTTACAAGGGAGAGCTGAGCAACTTGTTCACAAACGACAGGAAGCTGAAAACCAATTGAAACTGAAGCAAGCTGAAAACGAGTTACTTCGAATGGCTTTCGAAATGAACGAACGCCTCCAAGCTGAAAGTGATCGTTTGGAAGCTGAGGCAGTAAGACAGTACAGAGAAGATCTTCAGAAACAGATTGAACACAACAACGTTTTGAGGGTAAGTTTGAAATATTCCCATAATTTCTGCTATCTATCCTACAGCATACAGATCGTACAATTCAACGACGTATCTTCGATCGAATTTACCGCTAGTTCGGGAGTTCCGCGAAGACGGATTTTGGGACCTCTCTTTTTTATGTTATTTGTTAATGACGTTTCTCGGTATATCAGGCATTCTCAACCTCTCCTTTATGCCGATGATCTCAAGCTTTTTAGAATAATCAGAAGCGAAAAAGATTCTGATATGCTTCAAGATGATCTCAATAATCTATCTAATTACTTTTTGACCTATCTCTCAACGAAGCTGAATGCAAAATAATGAGTTCCACACGAAACAAGTCGCCCACTATCAAGGATTATTTTATTAGTCACACGTATCTTCGATCGAATTTACCGCTAGTTCGGGAGTTCCGCGAAGCCCGATTCTGGGACCTCTCTCTTTCATGTTATTTGTTAATGACGTTTCTCGGTATATCAGGCATTCTCAACCTCTCCTTTTATGTTTATTTTAAATATTTCATTCGGACTGATACAAAACACGTGTTATAGGTTCAAAAAACTCCTGAATGAATATCGTGAATATATGAATATTACTTGAAGATGATCTCTTGATGATCGAAACACGTGTCGTGGTGTTGAAAATAACGGTTTGGTGTTGGGATTAGACTCCAGTAATATTCATTACTAAACCAAAGGTCCCAAAGAGTGCATCACAAAATCGAGAATATAGTTATCAGTACTCTGTTGGTAACTTTTTTTTGAAAACTTCAGGGACTTCTTCCCCTATCACAACAGAGGACGGTTGTGCAGGGCGGACCTAAAAAGTCCTCCAATTAAATTTCGAACTCAACAAGATATAAACGTCGAATAAAATTCACTTAAAAAATATCTTGATGGGGAAGGAAATACTGTTGCATCTCTTGTCACCGAGAGGGTGCTACCAACTTTTTGTCAAATGGAAAGGGGAGTTTTATGATAACTCGCAGTTCACTTCTCTATCAACACTGTTTTGTTTTTAGAAATCGGGTCAGCTTCTCCTGAGTAATTAACAGATTCATATTCGTTTTGAGAATCTGCAAAAAAACGATAAATATTATAATTTCGAGTAGGAATGTATTTATTTGAACCTCACTTCTGTTCCTGTGATGGAATTGGTCGATACTTGATGAACATTCATAATTAATTCAAATAACACTTTATTGTGAGATTTTCACTGGACAATTCACAAAACCGCAACACGTGTTTTGCTATACAATAGCTTCCTCAAGCGTTTCATACTTTTTGAAAAACTATTACTTGAATACACTCCAGTTTATCTCAAAAAATGTTCGATGTGTTCACCACTTACTTTTTGAAACTACTGAAGGTTTCAACAAATTTATTTCTCACGTTATGGAATGTTTCTGAAGTGATTTTGTTGGGAGCACCTTTAATTTTATTCATGAGCCCTGGAATAGGCTGCGGTTGTGTGAAGTATACTTCAATTTTCACGAATCCCCACTAAAAATCTGAGTGCGTCATTTCAGGTGATCTAGCAAGACATCCTAGGGTACCACGTTTGCCTATCGACCGGTTTGATTCTTCATCATCGACCCATTTCTGAACCAGTTTGTCGTAATGAGGAGGTACCGCATCTGGTTGAAACGTAACATCAGTTGGAAATCATTTTGGTTTGTCAATTTACCAAACCCATAGATAGGCAAATATGATCCCTCAGAAGAGTGGAGTAGACCACATGTGACCATATGGAATTGTCTGAATTGTGATGAAAATTCACAACAACGTATTTGAGTTACACTTCATTGCGATATTTTCCCTAAACATCTGGTATGTTCATACTATGAATACATGTAACTATACGCTGTGTCCAAGATAAGAATGAACACCATGGGAATATCATCGGAAACGGTAAGTGATACGGGGTCGATTGAATTAGAGAAAAGTAGCGCCTTTGTGTGCCTAATGATATGCCATTTAGAAAGTTTCAATATTCCGAGTAGTTTTGCAGATATCCGTGCAAATCCGAAATAAATATTTCGTTTTTATTTTCTCCTAGCTTCATTTTCAAAGGAAATGTGAAACAAATAGCACTTTGGCATGACCACTTTTTGAGGACTATACGATAAAGTAAGCAGATTTTTTCTGACACGTTTCGTCATTTAGAAAACATCATCAGCTTAGTATTTTTATATGGGCCGAAACTGAAGTATACCCTGTATATCACTCCATTTTTCATTGTGAATACAGCAACGTATCGCACAATATGATTTCATATCCATTTCTCGCGCAAAATGAGAAGTGATTACTTAACCTGCTTTTCTTCAATTTTAGATCTTACGAGCTGGAAAAAATTAGACATAATGTTCTGTTGTCGTAATAATACTGTTGTTTGGTAGAATTTTTGACATATTACCGTGTGCTCCAGCACAACGCTAGAATTGTTTTGTGATTATTTGAACCGTCGCTTTAAATTCAGATTAATTTTTGACCTTATTTCCAAGTTGATATTTTGGTGGAAAATTACTGACTGTTATTTATGAAAATGTGTTATATAGAGGAAGGAGTTAGCTCGACTAAGCATGTTTAGAAAACTGTTAGAAATTTGGGGCAAAGGTTGCAGTCGTAAACAAGAAACAATCAGAACTTTTTTTTGTTCCAGTTCTCGAAACTATATTAATCAGCCTTATTAAAGATCTTGAAAATGAAGATAAATACAGCATAAAAAATTTGGAATGTAACATACATTACTGAGAATAGTACTTGTATTCTTGGTAAAAATGGATGTATTTTTACACAATTCGGAAAATTGCCCTTCTTGGTGGAGCTTTGTTATATATGTATTCTTCTACACCAAATAACCAAACGTGAAAGAGTGCAGTCATAATTTTGAACATTCAATTTCCTTTCTTTTTTGTACTGCCTCGTTTGAAGAATAATGTTTTTTAGAAATGATAGAAATACGACAGAAAAGAAAATGATAGGGGGTGGATAAAGAAAGTTTCTCCATACTTGTAGTTACATTTTTTTCAAGTGCATCAAACTCAATTTTCGAACTTTTGCTAAGTGAATGATCGCAGAGGTTGAGCGAGTTTAATCGGTCAAACAAGTGTAGTGAATTTAATCTACAAGACTAACATGAAAGTTATCTAGTCTTCAACTATTTCATCTTTTTTCCGCAATGTAAAAAATAATCACACAACATAATTATTCTTGCAGGAGCGAGAGAGACAAGAGCTGGAACGTCAACTGGAAGAAGGACGAAAGGAGGAAGAGATGTATAATAAAATTGTTCAGGATATGATCAAAGAGAATGTTCAAAATGACATGAAACATCCATTCAGAAGGGTCCTTGAAAATTATGACTGTCGATGTATTTCCAATAAGCCGTTATAAATTGATTGAATAAAATATGAATGCTTGTCTACTTTTCATTTATTATTAACTACTATCACATATTTTATTCAAGTGACACTTTGTTGTGTTCTACCTACAAAATAATTTATAATTTTACCTAAGTTCAAGTAAAAATTAATTGAAAATTCGAACATTAGGAAAGTGATTTTACGAACTCAAATGTCATAATAGAATAGAGGGTAGAGATTCAATTCTATTTGGATATTTAGTAAATTTCCAGAATTCCTATATCTATCAATTTTCAAGCATTCCAAAAGATTGCGTTTCAATCTTTTCTCTTCCAAATGTAACATAAGATGGTCGTGTCATAAAGAGTGAAGAATAAAAGAGCATAGGAGAAATTTCATGAATGTGAAGACCAATTCCACATTTGCAAACCATCTTTTGACAGAGGGGAATTATTTATGGTCATAAGTCATTGAAGAGATGGAAGGTCATATGATTCAAATTATTATCATATATATAAAAATGTATATGGAAAGTAATAGTTTTTTGGTTCAAGACCTAATATTTGTAAGAGATTGTGGAGTACATGATTTGAATAAGAATCGGGGTGTAGATGGAGAATTCCACANTGGAGATCAAATCGTGAGGTGTAGTTTTTGAAGTTACTAATAAAACAATGTTTTTGGGAGAAATTCAGAATATTTTTGAAGTGCTTGAAAAGCTTACCTCTGCTTTTTTTTATAAAAATTTCTAGCATCAAAACTAAGCGTGTTATGGTGATGATAATGTTGATCCCTATTTCCTATTTCCGACAAAAAACAGAAAGTTCCGCCCCTTATTACCATTCCAATTGAAAATAATTATTACCATTTCGCGAGTCACTTCACTTATGTACTTGTAATATGTTCTAGAAGTTTAACTGGTTCAAGAGGCTTCGTTTTGAGACTTGAATGAAAAATGAAAATGAAGGTTTCTTGTAGCTGCTCAAAAAAGGTTACATGAGTTTCATCCAAAAATTCGGTGGTTTTTCATTACTTCACGCTGAAACTTTCAATTTTAGCGTTTGATTAATGAGAACAAATTTCAACAAGCTATTAGTCTGTTTGTATGGACTATATTTTTAGTGGAAATAGTTTTTTAGTAACGTTTTAATTTATTCCCAAAATGTGAATTCATTGGTTGTAAAATTGACATTTCCGCTCGCCAATCAATTAAAAAATATTGACTTTCAGAAATAATCTTCATAGAACAAAAGTTGCTTAGAATTAACCATTATATCTATTTACAGACTTATTATCTATGAAACATTTCTGGTCAACTCTGAAGTAGAGAGTAAGTAAAACCTATATCCAATTTTTTGTGCAAATTGGTGCTGTTTGGCAAAATTTTACAGTGTCGCCGTATTTTACTTTCAATGACAGGACTATCAGTTCTGATACTTATCCCACCGCTGCCACCACAGTTACGAAATATATGTCACAAATATCATGTCCAAGCGGTGGTTCCTAATAGGGATGTATTAAAGCCGAGTCAAGCCGAGCTTTGACTCGAGCTTAGCTCCAAAATATACGATTTTTTAGTACAGAAAAAGAACGTTTTGAGAACTAGAGTTGGCATTGTGGAATGCATTGCTGTTATTTTTTAGCTGATGTTTGTGTATTATTAACTTTTTCAGAATTTTGGTATAATTTGATTACAGTAACATCGAGATCTACGCGGTTTCCTTCTGAGTATGCGCGAACCTTCGTGATTGTGAATTTGCAAAATGGAAATGATTTTGGAAATAAACTTCATCATTAGATACTGCTTTGACCAAACTGTTTATTACTTTATCTCCACCAGAAGGACAACCACTTTACAACTTTCGGTATCCATATGTAATGCCTTAAGGAGTTGAAATGGGACCTAGAGACCCTCCACTTGCACTCAGTCAAAAAATCAAGGACATCTTTATCTGGGTTTTACATTAATCCATCTCTAAGGGGTGATAAAGGCTCAGAACCTTCTCATGGTTTGAAGAAGCTCTAAATGGCTCGAAAACTCGACTCGGGACCCTCCGGCTCGCGCTGAGCCTCGAATAAATACATATCGGCTCGCTTTGAGCTTTGACTCCGGCTCTAATACAACACTAGTTCCTAATAATAAATGAGCTACACTCTCATTTAAATATAAAAAATGTATTCGATGTTACAAATGTCAACTGAACATTGTACTTCAATTACAGTTTGTAATGGTTGCAATTATTTAACTTTTTTTTGAGGCATTCTTCACTATTTAATCATTTTATGGACTAATTTGAAGTGACTTGCAGCCTGATGCTGTGAAGTATATACAAGATATTCCAAAAATTCTCGTATATTTGCTATACCAATTCAATTTTCTCATATGTATTCCTCAGAAACATTTTAACGATAGCGTGACTACGACAGTGGCGGTTCGTTCACAAGCTCGCCATCGATGTAATAGTATAAAAATCAACTTTTTTCATTCACAATATTTCTGCAGTGTATTTCGGTTGGAACGAGCCAGCATGAATAGGTGTTTAAATTCTTTATTCAACCCTGAAACATTCTTGACCTCACAACGATAAACAATGTCAAAAAATAATGAAATACTTTTTCACAGTTTTTATTTAATTTCAGGCTAGAAAATGTATCTAAACAGGAAAATTCACACGACTAAATGTTTGAAAACTAGTCTAATGAAAACTCTTCTCCCTCATCAGAAGAGGAGTGCTATCTCATCAGGAGATGATTATTACTCGAGCATTTCAGTAGATTCAATTCATGCCAGAAGTTCCAAATTCTACTTGTCGCTATCAACTATCATACGAGCTTTTGTTTCCAACATCACATTATGAGAAATATCTGATGTTTGAATCCTACAGCACCTTTTGATTTGAATCATTTCCATTGAAAAAAATCCAGTGGAATCAAATCATAGATTCTAGGCTGCTTTTTTATGGAAGCCCTCCTTCAATCCACCGATCCCTAAATTACCATCGAGGAATTTTTGCACTGGTATTCCGCAATGGAAAGGAACCCCATCTTGTTGAGAAACTACTGACTTTATGACTTCATTCATCGAATTGTAATTGACGTGCTTTTTTAACTGGAAATCACTCGAAATGTACTTACTACTTGTATTTTTCTTTAGAGATTTCAGGTATATATGTGGAAGAAGAAAATACCAGAAAAATTCGAAAAACATATCTCTTTCCTGAACAAGTATTTTCCACTTTCACACAAGTTATTAAGATCAATCTACGAATGACGTTTGAATCACCGGATTTGTTATAATTACGAGTACGTCATAACTCCTGACTTCCTAAAGAATTTTTCATTTCATTTTTAATGAATTTCGTTCAACTACATCGAACATATTATAGCTAATCAATTGCATAAGGCGTTTCAAAACACGTATTCCTGTAATAATGTAATATAAATATAATGTTTTGGGTCATAAACGTTATCTTGGCAAATTAATAATACCTATTGAATTGAAATTGTTATTCATGTAATCATCTGAGAAAACTACGTACACAGCATTACACAAGTTACTCTGAAAAATAATAGTATCAATAATTATTCCAAGACCATCAAAATAAGAATAGCGTATGAAGGTAATATAATACATATTTGATAATTACAATTAAGAACCTGTGGCATGAAAATTGAAAACCCTGTTCCTTTACCAGAACAAAAATGTTGTTTTTCGACGGGCGTTCCGCTAGCCATCAGGACATGATACTAACTTAGGCAATGAAACGCGAGTCGAGAGACACCATTTTGTTTTGATTCTAATACTGCTATGGACTGAGCTATGGACTATTTCTTAAATATGGACTCTATTTTTGTTCCGGTGAGTGAAACGTTTTTCCAACAGGTAATTATAATAATAATCTGTATTATTACCCATTACATGGTTAACAGTAGGACTTCAGATTATAGACATGTAAAGATAATACAGGGCGAAGTTTAACTTGAAAGCAGGAAATGCTACTCTGTTACTCTTCCACTAACCTCACTTCAAAAATAACTTTTTATACAAAAAAATCGAAAAAACGAAACTAACTGCAACTAAATGCACCCAAAACAAATATTATTCATGTTTTGTAACTTTTTAAACAGCTGCCAATTTGAAATAAGGATTCTGAAGATTATTAGCAAAAAAGGTTGAATAAATACTGTTTGGACTGAGTCTTGAAAAACTAAAAACTCCCTATTTTGAAATCGGATGGAAAGATTTCATAAATTTTGAAAATTTGATGACTATAAGACTTTCTGAAGTATTTGATGTCGAAAGAGGACGAAAACAATGTTCCCCAATATCTTATATTAACATTATGTACATCCGTAATACGAAAGGTTTTTTTTTATGTAAATACGAAGGCGTCAATCTGCAAGTTATTTTATAAAAAAGACCACAACGTGATGTTCTCCTATTTTCCTGGATCACCAACCAACTTCGTGAAATTTATGGGACAATCTTCCGCGTCTTCTTATTCCATGAATTCTGACATGAATTTTGCACTTTTTGAATTCTTTGTTTTCGATAATTAGTTATGACAGGCCCGTGAACAGCATCTGCGTAATTGATATTCGACAACTCTAAACTTTCACAAAGTATAACTTTAGCTTTGGCAGTAGAAAATGCCGGATTCCATATATTACACGAATGGTGAGTTACGCTCTTTGTGACAATTTATTGAAATTTGACATGTGTCTCGAATCTCATATTGAAATCCAACAATACACCCAAAACTTCGACTTTCTCAACAATTTTTGTGGTTTCATCACTAAAACTATATTGATAATGTTAAAGAAACCTCAGCGTTCATATTTTAAACCGGAAAGGGTAGCTTTCGATTTAGAGAAATTTTAAATCAAGTGGTGATCTGAAGCATTCTAGATAAATATATCCAGTTTTCTGATTAGCATACGACAGGAGGTATGAAGGGAAAAAATGAAATTGTGTATCATCTGCATAACAGTGAATGTTACATCGTTGAATACTTATAATGAGATTAAATGTATACACAGCAAATAACAGTAGTCCAAGAAT